AGACCCCCCCCCCCCCCAAAAAAAAAAGAGTTCAATAAATAAAATATATAAATAAATAATTTTTTTTTAAAAAAAATATTTTATATTCTTAACCTGGTAATGCCCTAAACTCATCTCGTACCCGAGTACCGAACATTTCGAGGTGTCCAAATATTCTACATTCTTACAAGGGTTACACTATCGTCTGCCTCGTAAGAGTCACGAATATCTGCTTTGTGAGAATCTCGATAGCTGTAGAATAATACATCAAACTCTCTACGTTTATAATGATAATTAACATCTGATACATTAAGTTAGCGCTCATATTGACAAAAGTGCATCAATATTCAAAATTTTCAAAATGTACCCTTCTCGTCTCTAAAATTTAATTTTAGTTTTATTTAATTCGTAAAATTAAAAAAAAATATATATATTTGGTCTCATCGGTGGAAAATACGCGTTACAATCTAATTACTATATATATATTTACAATAAAAAAATTAATAATATATTAAAAAAACAATAATAATTATTATTATTATTTTTGTATAATACTACTCTATAGGGTTTAAATTTATGCTTAAATAAAACTTTCAATTAAATAAATTTAAATGATTAATATTTTATTTTTTAAAAAATAGAAATTTTTGTTCAATGAACTATGTTCGTATTTATTTACAATTTTTTTAGTTCGATCATTTAATGTAAAAAAAGGTCGAAATAAGTGTATCTAAATCCATTTAATCAATCGTCTAATTCGTTAAGATGTACAGATACGAACTCTTAATTTAATAAAATTAACAAAAATAAATTAATTTTTTTTATATGGTTTAGAAGATATGAATAGATGGATTAAGATTATAATCACGAAATTAACAAAGAACTCAACAAATTTGTTTAGTAATTAAACAAAATTTAGTTTTTGAGGCAAATTTGTACAATTGATTAATAAATTCCCAAATTCCTATAAACAGACTCCCAAATCCCTAATTCCTCTTCATCCAGACACAAAAAATCCTCCAAGAGAACTTTCAACAATGGCGGATCCATTACTGACACTCCTCTTCCCCATGGAAACCATGGTTTCTGAATCGGCGTCTCCTCCAGTCATCGTCCACTACACCGTAACCCTAGACCTCCGGACCTCCATAATCTTCTCCGTCACTATAATCCTCTTCTTCCTATTTCTTTACCACGTCCTTAGCGGCTTCCTCCAGTGGTTCCTCAGCGGCCGGCGCGGTGGAGATGTGGAGGCGGGAATGGGAGAGGAGCGGCGGGTGAGGCGGGCGGAGAAGATGCCGGCGGCGGTGAGATTTGGGAGCGAGAGAATGGTGAGGAGGAGGAGCGAGGAGGAATGTGCGATATGTTTGGAGGAGTTTATGGCCGGAGAAAACTGCCAGGCGTTGCCGGAGTGCAACCATTTTTTTCATTCGGATTGTATTGATGTCTGGTTTAGCAAGAAATTTACGTGCCCGATCTGTCGCCATTGTATTGCAGCTTAGATTTAAGCTCTTCTTCTTCTTCCTCAACTTTTTTTTTTCTGGATTGTTTGTGCAGATACTGAAGAATTGTATATAAATATAAAATGTTGAATAAATGTTTTGTGTTTGTTTCTGGATAATGGAAGCCTGCCGTAAGAAATTTAAGAAAGGTGGAGTAGGTTTATAATCAAAGAATACTCTGCATTGAGGAAGCCCAAATCATACCATTATGTAAAGTTGTGTTGGTATCCTCAAATGTCGAACAAAGGACTCAATACTTAAATGTCGAGTCTTTAAAGGTAGAACAAAGGACTCAATTAAGGAGAGACGTACTTTGTTGAGAGGTTGGATAATAAAAGTCTGATAATGGCTAATGATGGTAAGTTTATAATCAATTTATTATTAAAGAATTCTCAATCATTTTTAAGAAAGCTCAACTCAAAAGCAAAAAACTATTATTTATATATATATATATATATATATATATTTGTTGAGAATCCCAAAGTAAAACCACTATGCTAAAAGTAGACAATATCCGCTTAATATCATTACAGCCATAATATATACTCGTAAGTAGACAATATCATTTCAGTCATAATATAGACAATATCATTACAGCCATAATATATGTTCGTAAGTAGACAATATCATCCCAGCCATAATATATGCTCGTAAGTAGATAATATCATTCCAGCTATTATGTTCAAAATAGACAATATAGGCTTAAAATAGACACCATTCCAACTATTATGCTAGACAAGTTAGGTTTAAAATTACTTTAATTTCTAAAATTTTGGAATAATTTTAATTTCATTCCAAAATAAAATTGTGCACATTTTCTCTGAGATTTTATGAATTTGATGTACAATCAGAAAATAAAAAATAAAAATTTAAATATTTAGAATGAAAGTCTAAGGATAAACTTGTATCAAATTTTATTTTATTTTCTCTAAAGTTCCTAAATGCAATCAATATTAAAAATTGGTAATTTTTTTTTAAAAAAAAAAGTTAAAAAAGTTTGTATTTATTTAGTTTTTTTATTTATTTATTTTTTAAATAAGCATAAACTCAAGATTGATGTTCGTCTAAATTTAAAGTCCGATAGAATTAAATTGAACTATCCAAAGCCTAAAAAGTAAGAATTACTATTCGGTCAAATCATTTACACCTGAGCTTTGTATTTGGAGTTCATGAAATTTAAAAAACTAGCGAACAATAGAGACTCGTTAGATCATTTTCAAATTTTAAATTAGCTGAATTTTTCTTAGCGTTAGATTTGGGATTATACACAATCGGTAGAAAAACGAAACTATTTCCTTGAAATTTTTCGTAAAAAAAAGAAATCAAAGTCTCGGAAGAACGCAGTAGGAAGAAGAGAAACCAATCATCAGACGATCACAGCGAAATATCCAAGGAAATCATCAATTACTAACACGATATCAATAAAAATGAAATTCAAACAGCAGCATACATATCAATTAAGGCTCATCATCCCGAGGCTCGGCATCGTCGTCGTCAGAGAAATCGTCAGCACTAAGCTCCTCCCAACCTTCACCATTGAAGCCATCAGAGCCTTCGAGGTCGCTCTCGCTCTCGCTCTGTTCATCTATGTCCTCGATCACCGGCTGCTGCTTTCCTCTGACCTCAATCCTAAATCCGCCATCAAAACTAGAATTAAAATGCCTAGGCAGTAGGGGCCGATCGCTTAAACCAAGCTCACGAAGGAATCCGGATGCGGATTGTCTAGGAAATGGAAGGAGATGATTTTGGATGGATTGTGCTAATGGAACAGATGAGGCTGGATTGCGAAGAAGTAAATAGATTGGGGCTTTGACGTCCTTGAGAATCGACCTGGACGCCATTGGAGGAAATGGAGAAGACTAGGTTTGAGAGGAAGGGGTGGTGATTGGGGTTATATAGAGCGGCAAGAGATGAAGGTTTAGGGTTTTTGGAAGTCGGTTCTAGAGACTTGTTGGAGTTTTTACCACGTGGAAAACAAACCCTCGCCGCTCCCTGCATTTACCGCCCGATTTTAAACTTCAATTTAATTAACAACTAAGTTTATTCAACATCTTTTATTTTGTATTTATTTAATTTTTCTAATGAGCTATTTTTTTTATAGCTAATTTAGTAAAAAAAATGATATTCTTAAATTTATAATTAAAAAAAAACTTAAAAATACTTTTAAATTTTTAAAAATTCAATAATACTCTTAATTTTTTAAAAAAATAAAAACTTTAAATTTTAAGACAATTCTTAAAAAATACCTTCTAATTTTCAAAAAAATTTAAAATAATAAAAAAATAATAAATAATTTTTAGGGTTATTTTGTGAGTATTTTTAATAAGATTTTAAAGTTTTTAGAAGTATCTAATAAATTTTTAAATTTTTAAATTTTGTACCAAATATAACTTATTTATCAAATACTTATTAAATAAAATTGAAAGTTTTAAAAACATATTATGTACCTTTTAAAAATTTTAGAGGCTTATTAGACACATTATAAAAAATCAAGATATTTATTAGATTTTTTTAAAATTATAAACCAAATAAATACATATTTAAAATCTTAATAACTACATTATTTAAACATTTAAACCGGTAACAAAATATACAATAACATCCATAGATCCATGAAACTATCTTAAGAAACAAAGATCATTGGCTTCTATAATTTGAATATAATCACCTACACCGAACATAGAGATGGATAAATTCCTCATATAATACATTAATAAATAGCTGCCCAATCAGGCCGTATTTATGGGGTTACTATTTAGAGCCTAGTTGAAGGTATAACTGGTTAAGATATTAATTCACAACCAAGAAGTCAACTAGACATGTTACCGTCTAACCGAGCTAAAAAAAATCATAGAATTTAAAAATCTTAAGTAGGTAGCCAGCATGAAGTTCATCAACATCCATTAAACTAAGTTGTGTAAAATCTACCAATAATTGTCATACTCCTTCCCTCGAGGTTGAGGATCAAATCCTCGTATCTCACGATATTGTACTAAAAAAGAAAATAAGGCAGTGCCTTCACATCCTCAACCGGATTTGTCTACAAGACAACATCCAAAAGAGTCATCATTCTTAGTGTCTTAACATCCTTCAAAAGACGAGCATGCCATCGGAGAGATTAATTGCAAATCATGCATAAGGCAAAGGGTAAAGATAAATGGTTGATGTAGCCGAGGATTGACTAATACAAAATCATGAGCTTTAGTGTAACAGTCTAAGCCCACGTCTAAGCCTACTGCTAACAGATATTGTCATTTTTTGACTTTCCCTTTCGAACTTCACCTTAAGGTTTTAAAATGCTGTTTGTTAGGAAGAGGTTTGCATACCCTTATAAAAAATTCTTCGTTCCCCTCTTCAACCAATGTGGAATCTCACATTTGGGGTTTCGAGAATGAACAGCTTGTCTATGGTTACTTTTCGCTTAAAGCATCCATAGCAACAAAACAAAGCCGGAGCTAGTTCTACAATGAATCTTACTGAAAAATCAGCAAACTTATTGATGCTTGTAAAGGGTAGTTTATGCAGCATTATATTAGCAGAAACTCGCATCGAAACTAGTTCTTGACTTATGCAACATTAGCCAACTTCAAATCATACAAATGTTCCATGAAATGAGTTGACTAAGTATATATACACGTGATTCTGCTAATAGAATGGAATTTAAGATTTAATAGAAGATATAGCTAAGTTCAAAACTGCAGACCTTTCAAAGTGACCCAAGAACTTAAAAGCTGATAAGTTATGGTAAATTTAATTATATCACAACTTCAACAATAAAATATACATACTTGGTTTTTGCTTCAGTCATCAACTTCACAGCCCCTGAATTTGATTTCTTTTCCTCTGGTTCCTTATTGAATATGACGACAGTTTTGACAAGTTCAACCCTACACCATTCACTTGCTTGTTTGTTGGTTTTGCTTTTATAAATAAGAACTACAAGAAGGTGTAACAGCCAACCTCACCGCTAGGAGATATTGTCATCTTTGAACTTTCCCTTCTGGGCGGCTTCTCCTCAAGGTTTTAAAACACGTCTACTACTAAGGAGAGGTTTCCATACCCTTATAAGGAATGATCCATCCCCCTCTCCAACCGACGTGGGATCTCATAGAAGGAACCTAATATCAACCTAGTATCATGTGCAAGTACCTAGATTGAAAACTTTCTCCGTTATGAAGTACTCAATTCCATTGCAGATATGCACGTATTATTTAATTTCTGCAAGTAGGTAAGCATGTTAATATCCCTTTGAAGAAAAACCAAAAGCATCTCAAAGAATAAACTGGAAAAACAAAATTATCCTCTTTCTTTAGTTCAAAACAACTACGAGACAAGACATAAATTCATGAGCTCTGGAACTTTAGAGATTCAACCACAACTACAAATCACAAAAACAATGGAGCTCAAGCAAACTACATATTTCTCATTTTACATTCTAAAGAAGAAAAAAAAAAAAGGGATCACTACACTATGTCACAAAATCAACACATTCTAAACTAATAAATCCAAAAACTAGCATTCATGAAGATGAATCCTAAGTACTGCTTCGATTTCTATAGACAATACGGCCTTTAGTAGAATCATAACGGCTAACTTCAACCCTAACCCTATCACCAGGCAAAATACGCACAAAATTCTTCCGAATTTTACCACATATGTAGCCAAGAATGAGGTCTTCATTATCCAATCGAACTCTGAACATCCCATTGGGGAGAGACTCGACGATAGAGCCTTCGTAGCTCCATTTCTGCTCCGTGCTGTCGCTTTTTGGAGGCTTTGCCATGAGCGCGAACCTTGCCGGACCATGGGAAGGGTTACGAAGGAACTGAGAGGTCGGAAAAGCGATCGATACGACGGAGAGATGCGATTTAATGGCAGGAAAAAAGAGAGTGGACGGCGGCCGGGAGTGGAGATGAAGGAGAGGGAAACGGAGGAGATTAGTGCTCGACATTTTTGCTCCGCCTTCTGTTTTCTGAATTTTGGCGGTGGAAGGGAGTGAGCGCCAATACTAATTGTATTAATTAATTAATTTTATGAAAAAAATAAATAAAGGTTTTGATGAAACTTGGGCTTGGTTTCGCTTGGGCTTCAAGTGGGCTCGGTCAGGCCCAATTACAAAATAAATAGCCCGGTTTTGAAAAATAGACAAAGCGCACGTGCACAACAATTACATTATCTTTCCATATTTGCCCTCGGAGGTGATCTCCCCCTTATTTAGGGATGGGTGTAATTTAAATCTTTTTAAATCCATTTAAATTTTAATCTCCCTAAATTACCCATGCCCTTAATTTGATTTTTTTTTTTTTTTTTTTAGTTTAAATTATGAAATCTCATTAAAAAATTTGAATCATATATTAGTTACCAATTTAGATTATACTCATAATTTCATATTTACTATTTGTTTAATTATTTTACAATTTTAGTCTATCCATTAGTCGACTAACCAATCAATTAGCTCTTGCTTTACACTAAACACATCCAACCGATATGATCGCATCGCACGATCCACCTTTCTTGGGAGCCCAGCATTTTTGACCGGTGCTAGCTTTGATACCATTTATAACAACCCAATTCGTTCTCCTCTCCAACCAATATGATCGAATCTCACGATCCATCTCCCTTGGGGACTCAGCGTCCTCGATCGTTGTCTAGCTTTGATACCATTTGCAACAGCCCAATTCGTTCTCCTCTCCAACTGATATGATCGCACCTCCCTTGGGGGCCTAGCGTCCTTGACTCGTGTCTAGCTTTGATACCATTTGTAATAGCTTAATTCGTTCTCTTCTCCAACTGATTTGATCGAATTTCATGATCCATCTCCCTTGGAGACTCAACGTCCTCAACCGGTGTCTAGCTTTTATACCATTTATAACAGCTCAATTTGTTCCTCTCTCCAACCGGATTATGATCGGATCTCACGATCCACTCCCCTTGGAGACCCAGTGTCCTCAACTAGTGTCTAGCTTTGATACCATTTATTACAATCCAAACCTATCCACCACTAGCAAATATCATCCTTTTTTAGCTTTCCCTCCTAGACTTCCCCTTAAAAATGGTCCACTAGAGAGAGGTTTTCACAAAAATATTTCATTTCCTAACTACCTGCCACCGGACAAAAACTTCACTGTTCCCTAGATTGGCTTTGGGCCTTTCCTGCACAGCTTAGGTGGAGGGCAAAGAAGAAGGGGGCTCGAGCAATCAGTGAGATACCACTCTGGAAGAGCTAGAATTATATCCTGTGTCAGGACGGGCCAAAGGACAGTCTCAGGTAGACAATTTCGATATGGGATCTCACAACATAGAAAAAATATTTCGTTCTCTGTTCCCCTCTCTAACCGATATGGGATCTCACAATAATTCAGCAAACTGTTCGATCGATCAATCGAGAGAAGATAAAATTCAAATATTTGATAAAAAAAAGAAGCATAAAGATCTATTATTACCATGAGAAACAAAAAATGAAACAGGTTATAACAATGTCTCATAGCCTGTTGGAAGGTAGAGACCTCCTCCAGTGCATATAGAAGCAAGCTTATGTACAAAATTAGAGATCATATATGTTCATTATGACAAAATTATAGACATAGGGCAGCAGCAAGATCTACTATGATTCCTCTAAACTCTAAACTACTCTCGACAACTATCAACACTCGACTTCGTTTCAGTTAGACGTTAACACGTTCAAAATCTATCCCAAAACCAACTTCTCCACATTCTCGCCTTCCAAGCTTTCTAATTCAGCTTTACTATCCCTAGCTGATTGCTCTTTTGCATTTGATACCGACGTCGATAGGGGTTGCAAGAACTTCTCGCAGTCACTGACCCCAATTCTTTTAAAAGTCTCAACGAGCCGACTCAAAACATGGTTCACGCATTGCTGAAAATGGTCCGAGCAGCTCTTGTTGCTCGGTTTGAAATCTTTAACTCTGTCTTTCACTAGAGATCCTACCTGAGCACCACCTATATATGCTTTACATGCCACCAGAATGTCATGAGCCCTTTTGAAGAAATGTCCCCTAACAAAGTCCTCAAAATGCTGCAGCAAAAGATATTCTAGTCTTAACTTATTCAACAACAACATACAACAACATCATTTATGATCGAAATTCGATGAAGCTCTTGCTAGATTGGTTTAGCATTTAAACCGAAATAAGCTCAAAAGACGGTTTAAAACTTTTGATCATACCATCACTTAATACTATATTCAACATACTAAAGCTCCAAAACAGGAAAAGAAGTCTAGAACCATACCTTTGGTGGCCTCCTGATGTTAAACACCATGGTTTTAATAGACAGGATGTACGCCTCCTCATTATACCGTTGAGACCTATTCTCTCCTGCAACCGATCCACTTTGATATGCATACCCGGGCTCGTTAAAGTAAGGCTTTGTATTCAAGATCAACCCTTGGATAGAGACAAGAACCTGAAGCATGGTCGACATGCCAGGAACCCAATTCTCATTTCCATTGCCACGCCACGTGTTAAGCAGACTTAGACATACTTTCCCACAGTTATACAAGTTCGGGTTAAGTCGAAGGCCCTTAGAGTGGTAATAGACATGCTGCATTGAAGAAAACAGTATCTGTAAGAAATTTAAGCACAATATAGTAATAAGTGAAATCTAGACACTGAAAAAAGAACGTACGGGCGGTAGGTCTGGATAAGCAGTTGGGAAAAATATGTCGAAGAAAAATAATCCATCGTGGTATGGAGTACCCTGTGCTCCTATGATGACAGCCCTCATAAGATCCATTCTTGACTCATACACTCTAACAAATATAGTTTCTGTTCAACAGATTAAGAAAGAGATTACTCATCTTTTTTTAACATGAATCTATAATATATTCTAAATAGAGGAAAAGAAATCAAAATCTACCAGGTAAATCATTCTGCAGGATCTTCCAGTCGTCCTGAATTGTTTTTGTCCATTTCTTCGACGCCTGGCAACAAGAGAAGATCTAAGAACGAACCGCTAAAAACGAATAAGAATATTCATAAACAGATAATTTTGTTCAAGACTTAGACCTGTTTCATGCTAAAACCTTTGCTAGTATAGTGATGGTCAGAATGATCATCAACGGTATCAAATTGTTTAAACCGCTCGAAGTTCCCCAAGATTTCGTCCAAGTCAGTGGGTGCAATTGTTTCGCTTATCGAGTCATCTGGATCAATGTTTGGAAGACTTTTGGTGGAACTCTGAACCCATGGCATATCTACAACTTCTCCAAGAGTAGGAGGAACAAGAGGACTAAATGGGCCATAAAGACCTGAAGCCATATGAGGGCCAAAAAATGGCTCCTTGGCTTTCATTTTGGCATAATCTGGCCAATATGGCATAGGTTGTCCTGCTTCCGGGTGCTTAAAGAAGTCCACATACCCAGGGAATTTTGAATGGGGCATACTCTGCAAACCAGTTAGCTTCTTTACACTGTCAGCTGTATCAGATGTCTCGCCTCCATTATGGAACTTCATTGCATCAGACGTGTTAATAGAAATGTTATTTAATTCATGTAGCTTCTTTTTACGTTTAAAAGGGTCCAAAAAACTCCGGGATTTAGCTGCATCAATACCAAGTGCGGAATTTAAGTGACTAACCCCGTATTTGCCCCGGTAGCGAGATGTAGCTGATTTCCTATTTGGTTGAACATCTTGCGAAGGAAACGATGCAAAAGGTTCAATATCTTCAGGAAGATGGTTCTGAACACCAATGTCAGCCTGCAAGTTTAGGCTCTTTGATAAAGCCTCCTTCATCTGAACATGAGCAGGTGATTTGCCTAGATGATTAACAGGGCCTGGTTCACTTTGAGGTTCTGCTAATGATGACCACGAGGAGCTAGTTTCAGTGTCGATATTGTTTCCATTTTGACCATGAGGCAGCCATGGTATTGGTGCTTCGATATCAGGAGGAATATCCATATGATCAAAATGGGCTTGCAAAGCTGAATATGCATCCACATCCATGAATTCATCAAATGCCGTCCAGTCTTCATAGTCATTTGATGAATCAGAGAAATGATTGTCTATTTCGACAAAATTATGCGATGCCGAGGGAAAATTAGATTCGTCTTCGTTTGGACTCTCTTGGATTTCCACATCTGGACTAAGTGAATGGCTAACAAATGTTTCCTGAACAAAATAAAAGCTTTAGCCATAATTATGAATCAATGCAACAGCTGTAACAAGCATACCATGACTGCTTCAATTTACAAAACTTAACTCTTTAACGACTTCATCTTCTAGTCATTTCTTTCACAAATAGTCTTTTCTTAAAGAACACATCAAGTGGTTCGTGCCAAAAAGAAAAATTGTGAATACAAATTTAAATACATAATATAATAATCCAAGCCCACCACTAGCAGATATTGTCCTCTTTGGACTTTCCCTCAAGATTTTAAAACGCGTCTACTAAGGAGAGGTTTCCACACTCTTATAAGGAATGTTTCGTTCTCCTCTTCAACCGATATGGGATCTCCCAGTCTACCCCCCTTGGGGGCCTATCACTGACACACCGCCAGGGGGCTGACTCTGATATTATTTGTAATAGCCCAAACCCACTGCTAGCAGATATTGTTTTGTTTGGGCTTTCCCTCAAGGTTTTAAAACGTGTCTACTAGGGAGAGGAGAACAAAACATTCCTTGTAAGGGTGTGTCTACTAGGGAGAGGTTTCCACACCCTTATAAGGAATGTTTTGTTCTCCCCTCCAACCGATGTGGAATCTCCCGATCTACCCCCCTTGGGGGCCTAGCGAGCTCAAGGTTCTAAAACGCGTCTACTAGGGAGAGATTTCCACACTCTTATAAGAAATGCTTTGTTCTCCTCTCCAACCGACGTGGGATCTCCCAATCTACCCCCCTTGGGGGCTTAGCGTCCTCACTGATACGCCGCCCGGTGTCTGGCTCTGATATTATTTGCAACAACCCAAGCCCACCGCTAGCAGATATTGTCCGCTTTGAGCTTTCCCTCAAGGTTTTAAAACGTGTCTACTAGGGAGAGGAGAACAAAGCATTCCTTGTAAGGGTGTGTCTACTAGGGAGAGGTTTCCACACCCTTATAAGGAATGTTTTGTTGTCCTCTCCAGCCGATGTAGGATCTCACGCATAAAATGTCAATAACTTTGACCTTAACAACCACTGGATCACATTTCGTAAAAATAACTTCAGAAACAAAAGAAATAATTAATCTTTAGACGTCGGCTCTAGTATGTACTGTGGGTGATATTCTTCCTTGAGCATATATAGTGATGCCTTATCCTCTCAATTCTTTGTAATCATCTTAGAGGAAATCATATTTCCTATATTTCCAAAAGAAAAGTGGAACATAGATATGCAAGAAGACACCAATCAAGCAATGAACAAAAGCTTTTGATAACAAACCTTCAATTGATGATCACTATGGTGATATATACCCTTTCCTTTGTCATTTGTGTCAAAATCGTCATGATTAAACACGGCATTGTCGGAAGCTTCATCTTCGTCAACATCAACCCTATCGAGCAAAATAATCTGGAAGGGCAAAGGGCGGGGCAAAACAAAGAAAGATATTAGAATGGACATAATTGTGCATCAATCCTTCATTGAACTATCAAGGTGATCAGACAAAACTGTGCATAAACGCAGTGGCACGAGTCGAAAAAATGAAAGAACCAAATGAGTTTAATGCACAAAGACAGAACATAGATGGTTGGAAACCATGAAAGCAAGAAGCTGAAAGAACGAAAGGGAAGGGGCGATTGCAGGACATGGCTTCTTCCAGCAGCAAAGCTGAACCAATAAACGTCCAGACGACAAAGATGACGGAAGCATCAGAAGAACAACTTGTAGAGTAAAGCCATGAAAATCTAAAGTTTAGCTTATAAAAACACATTGAACATTGAACATTGAAACATTGAAACATTGCTCATTCTCATGCAATTTCTTTTTGTCAGCGCTACACACTGAACTGACACTTCACTTTAAACTTCACTCTCTGCCACTCCATAACATTATGGTCAATCTTTAACTTATTAAAAAATTTCAGTTCATATTATAATATTTGGATCTTTATCCCTCCTGTACCAGTAACTATAATTCAAGAAGATTTGGATGAAAAAATATGAGAGTTAACTGCAACAACAGCGAGATGATCATTTAGCTGATGATTTTCATCAAACCAAACCAAAATTGAAAAGACTTTTAAAAGATTTCATACACTAAATGTCTCTGAAAAATTGGATTCTAATAATTCAAGACTACTTAATGCTCCAAACGAGAAGCTACTACAGTAGAAAGCGACAATCAAGCGTCACTTCCACTCAGTTCATACATTTGATAAAAATCCAAGCATGCAACGATACAAAATAGAAGAAAATCAATCAAGAAACTACACATTATGGCATACACTAACTCCAATTCGACAACCAGCCTCCAGACAAGAACACGATCGTAATACCCACTATTCCAAACAAGAGTTTACGAACAACCAACTTAAAAAAATCCCCCACCCATCTCATAAATTTCAATAATCCGCAATGGGTCAGTCTCAAAAGTTGAAAACTGAGTCAACCCAAAAATTAATACAAAATGAGATACAGAATACTCGACGATCAAACCAAAAACACCGATCGAGAGCAAAGTATTCCCGAAAGCAAAACAATCACATGTAAATAGAGAGCAAAAAATCCATACCCCTTGATCTTTTAGCATATTGGGAGGCCGTTTGATCATCGGCTCGGTTCCTAAAACCTGGGGTTTCGGAGACCCAGAAGAACTAGACCCAGATACTTCTTGTTTCCTGATGCCATAGAAAGAAAGATAACAATCGGATAAATTAGGGAAGAACAAGAAGAAACAGAGAGGGAGAGGGAAAGAAACTTAAAAGTAAAAAGAAGCATAGAAAACTAAAAACTGCGAGAGAAAATGGAAGACTTGGAATTGTTCGAGGAATTGTTGGGGAACGACGGCTCCATTTGAGGATCGGCTTAAGCTTACAACACAAATGGAGGATTATGAATGGTTTGATTGAAGCTTGGCTGTGGGCGAGTGAGTTAAAAATGGCGGCTTGCCTCGTTAAATGGGCTCACAGTCTGATTGTCCGCTTCTACTATTGTTTGTGATTGGTAGCCAGAAAGGGACCGAGAGGAACCCACCAAGAAAACTTAAATAAATATTATATATATTTTTTAATATAAAAATTGGGGATTTAATTATTTTAATTTAGGCAATATGAAACGAGTTTATAAAATAAATAAATAAATAATCATCGAGGATTTTTTTTAATGTAATTTTGAATTTTAAATTTTTTAGTTACAAATTTATATTTCAAAATAGTTTAAAAAAATCAATTTAAATTTGAAATATATGAAAAATAGCAGAAATAAAATCTGTCACTTTTAAAATATTAATTATTTATTTTGTTTTTTTTAATATAATTCCATTGATTTAAATTAGTCCAATTCGATTAGACCTAATATTTATGGAAATTAGTATAGAGTTAAATTAATTATTTGTCCTAAATATTTATGGAAATTGTTATTTAGTATAGAGTTAAATTAATTATTAATGAATTCAAATACAAACAAATAAACATTTTTATGCTAAACATCAATTAAGTAATGTTGATATTTAAATAATTTAATTTAATTACTGATAATAATTAAATAAGTGTAATATTAATTTCAATAATAAAATTTTATATTAAATAATTAAGATAATATAGAATGCTAATTGCAGGTAAAACATTGATGTATATAAATACTCATTCAAGTAAAACATGTATTAATAATAATGCATATTTAAATTTACGTTTTCGAATGAGTTCTTATACATTTCCTAAACATGTTCAAACATCCACTATCAGTGATACAACTTCTACAATATGTGACCGCTCATTAGAAAGGTTGCATTTATGAGTGATCTTTCGAAATTGTCTTTCATGTGCTTCATATTTGCCTGTAGTTTGCTTCTAGAAATGTAACCCCATCTCCTCACATCAATCTCATGAGTTTCTTATCCATTCTCATTCGATCACAGCGAAGAGCAAATCAAAATACTTAAAATGCATTTTTGAACGAGTAAAAACGTACTATTGTAACACCAACATTATACTTGGTATGAATTTCGAACAATATTGATATACTTGAAATTGCATCGCTGAATGAGTGTTGATATACTAATGATGCAATAATGATATTTTGAATAAATACGATATACTATGCATACATCAATATCGTGTAAGAGCATGTGACCGCTCGTTCACTCAAGCGTGTAAGAGCACAAAAACAGCAGTTATATACCATAATGAGATTAGCAGCAACATCAGATTATTTTCCTTCTCAGGCCCTACTAGAAATGAACAAGTGGCAGTGGCTAAGTGAAAGAAAGATTCTGAAGAACATACTCTGTTTGGATAGAAAACAGGAAGAACATGGCTTTGAGGAGATCGTCCCAAATCCTGCAAATGCCCTGCCCTTATCAAAAGCCAGAGACGTTATGCAGAATCTGGAAGTTCAAAACCAACAAGAGGGTGTCAAAGCCAACATATTACAGCAATAAAGTTCCATAATGCGTACAGAATTGAATTCTGCAAGAAAACCAGCAGAGAATGAGAGAATTGGTGACAAGGAAGTGTTCAGGACTTCCATGTCCAGGTAATGTTTATGCCACAGGAAGAAACTTTCATATAGATAACAGAAATCAATACATATATATATATATCAACAATTTCCAGGACAAAATGGCATGACAATGCTCTGCATCTAAAACAGATCTCCCTGTATTGAGATGTAAAATTCGAGGGAATTAGAATGAGAATGAAACTAAAAATGTCAAAGGGAAAAGGGAAAAAGAACATTTTCTTCTTTATGTGAATCGAATTAGAACAAATTCTCCTCTCTATGTGCAGCAATAACTTTACGATGCCGCTTGGAACTGGACCTCTTATCACTTCTTCCCCGCTTGGAAGGATTTCTCTTTACTGGCGGAGACTTTAGAACAATATGAGGCTTAGAAACAGGCGGCGGAGGACGGCCAATGGACACCGGCGGAGGACGGCGGATAACTGGTTTGACAGGAGGCGGTGGCATGTGTTCCAGTATTTCTCTATGATATGTCTGTAGATGTGAAGGGGAAAGAGCAGAATGTCAAGAATCATTTTTCTCAAACAGAAAGGGATGTTCATAGAATTGTATGTTCTAGCAAACGGAATTAAACTATGCATTGTTAATTATGATTAGGATTTTTACAGTCCAAGAACATGTATTACAAAAAGAGTTCAAGACCTGTATTACAAAATTGCGCCTTTCACAGTCCAAGAACATGTTAACGCTCCAATTGACTTTAGACATTATCTTATCTCTCACCATTGAGAAGCTTAACTGATCTCTTGAAGTAAAACGATCGACTTCATTGAACCAAAGGCAAGTGAATAAATTTGTTATAGGAATATGTTCTCGAATTATAACACATCCTTCAGGAACATCTGCAAGAAGTCCAATGCAGCGCCAAAAAGATGGTGAAACATACAGAGATAGGTTTTGCATACAAAAAAAGAAGGCGCGGAAAAACAGAACTGATGCTCATACCACTAGTTATAGGAAGCTTAGCCAAAGAATATGGGGTTAAACCCTCGCTAACATAAAAATCAATCTGCTCATCAATGGAGGAATTGTCATATTTTCCAGCAGCTTTATTAGCCACAGCCTCTTCAAAGACGTCGAATCGTTTATAGTGTCTTGAAATAGCAAAAGTTGCATTTTGACGCCACAGGAACCTACCTTGACAGTTTACATAAAAATGCACCACAGTTAAAAATACTTTATAGCGATAAAGCTTAAACAAGCACCCAAACATACATCAGCATAGAACCTACAAAAGAGAATCAAGCCAGCAAATATTCTGAAATGATCCATGGGTAAACTTCGTGTATAAGAAGCGAACAAACCCGTTATTATGTCGATTAAGATATGATGTGAGGACATAAAAAGTATTCTTCTGTAAACAGATGAGCCCTATAGATCCATCCAGGCATTTCAAAGGTTTTAACTAAAGAGAACACTGGACTAGTTGTTACAACGGCTCTTAATTGTTCAAATTTAGTGGTCACTCACTAAACATAAAAATAAATAAGATCCAGTCATTACTTCCACACAAATAATTTTTTAATGGAACTGAACAATCTCGAGTGCGAATTGAATTTATAAAACAAAGTGCGTCAAACAGTTCAAAAAATATTGGACAATCAAATATCTGAAAAAATGCAAATTTCCCGCGTAAGTAATATTGAACTGTAACGAAACAGAGCTCATAATCTCATTTATTTATCTTGTTAAATCAGTTGAATCAAGAAGACCATTGGCGAATCGCCAGCCTATTTTGTACTCTTACCTTCCAGACATTGCAGTCATTACTTCTACACAAATAGAGCACTAAATGTTTTTCTTTATAAGACACTGAGCTTTCACGGAAAAAATAAAAGAACGTATAAGGACATACAAAAAACAAACCCACGATCTCCAAACTACCCATGAATGGATTCCAATCCAAAAATAATAAGACCAAGTTGATAATTCCAAAACGTTCAATTAACAAATGGCCGTAAAGAGGCATTAAACCCACAATCTCCTAAACTTCTTTCGAAGAACTCTCAGCCCCTTAGTACTCCTACCATGTTAATCTAACAACTCAAAAAATAGGGGAGGGAAAAAAAATGCTACAACAGTATTCCCTTATCCCGAAAGGGATAGTTCAAAAGCACCTTCTCAAACAAATAAAGACAAACTCTATTACGATCCAAAGCAATCCCAAACGAAAACTAAAGCGCATAGTCCAAAGTGAGTAAGAAAGCTAGAACTCTCACAATAAATGGTCAATGCCTCAGAATGAATACAGTCTTGGATGTTCACCCTCTCATACAAAAGGTGCAAAGCAAGGAATTTAACTTTCTTAAAAAACTTGACCTTCTAGAGAGAGGAGAAAGATAAGGCACCCTGGGAGGGAGAAGACGAGCAGAGGATATAGAAAAACAATCGACAAGAGAAACCATCCAACATGTTATGCTCCAAAAGCCATAAATCCCTTCCCCTTGAATTGGTCAACTAATTTGGAAGGAAGAAAGAAGGGAAGCCACCTCCAAAGTCTCTTGGTTAGTGAGGGGGCGAGGAAAACCCAGAGAAAGTGAGGAAGTATAAGAGGAAGACAATACAGAGGCCACCGAGTGCGCCTCTTAACAAATGATAAAATTGTGGAAACAACGCACAAAGGGGCTTATCTCTCACCCAAGAATCCTCCCAAAAAGTAAATATTTGAACCAATTACCAAGACTTTAACGCACTTTTAGGATAAAGGAAAACCCAAAACATTATCAGTCTAAAGGTTTTTGCTTCAACCCTTAAACCCACCACCCGAAACCCACTCAAAAGAAGGGTGCATACAGAGTAGTTAAGGAAAAAACTGTGACTGGTGATGGAAAGATCATACCGATAGGATAAACGCTTTTTTCTCTTATTCATAATTTCTATTTAGAAAAAGTTCTAGAGCAATGCTTATTCCTAGAATCAGGGATATTGATGCGCTAACTAATTCAATCACAGCTGATATGTATTCAATTGCAAACAGAACACTGGTTAATTGAACTGTTAGCAAATTCAAACCCCTAGCGGCCTATATTGACGTAGCTGATTCTAGACCAGCCGATGAAATTGCAGCTACTTCGAAAAAAACAGCCTATTTAGGCTATGTAAAGGGATAGGCTTCCCATAAAGGTTAATGAGGATTGGACTCATCCCCAGACCATACTTGCTCACAATGATCCTATACCACAAAGTATGTGATTCCATGAAGAAGTGTCACGACCATTTTGCTAACAGTGTCTAGTTATGTATTCTTGGGTTGCCAATATCTAACCTTCCTAGCTCCATGAGCTTTGAAACTACACCTCATTTGACGAGGATCCGCAATAAATATGGATGGATAAAGATGTTTTGCAAGAAGAAAAATCGTTAACAGAAGAACAGCCATGCTATGGAAAAATTAAACCAAATAACTACCGGA